CCCCAAAACCCCAAAACCCCGCCAAGATTGAATTATGAAATAAAGATTAATTTAAAATAAGAAATATTAATCAATTTTTCTTGTCAATTCTTTTGCTTAGTTCAATATAGAAATACCTTAATTTATTATCTTCTTGATAAGTTGCTAGAATTTCTTGCACACCGATTCTTAAATCTCCTTATAAATCTAATCCTAATCCTCCAAAACCATATTAATCCCTTTTAAGCATATTTTTCTTTCTATTTTCAAGACTTAGCTTTTAAAGACTTTTGTCTATTTCACCAGTCTCTCCTGCATCACCAATTTAATGATAGTGAATCTTTAACAACAGATACATGTTTTAAAGTTCCCTCTTGTTTCGATCCACATCTTCAAAAAGCCTTATGAAATAATCTTCTTCTACCTGCTCGTTAGTTAATCTATTGAATATCTAAACTCTAATTTTAATGACATCCTTATAAAGTATATTCCAATGAGTATAATGTCTCTTTTAGGAAGTTTCTGATAACCTCGATTAAACACATATAAATCTCTTTCCAGTAAAAATAAATGAGTTAAACTTGAATGAAAAAACCTTCTGAATCATTTCATTTTCAAATACATTCAAATTAATATCATTCAAAATCTCAAGAGCTAGCGCTTTCTAAAGATTATAAGATTCAAGTTCCATTCTAAAGCTAACAAATCGTGGGGGTCTTACTTTAAGAACTCTAGTTTGTGCTTCTTCTTCAGATAATTAGTTATTTAATAATTGCACACCACTCCAAATAAAGTTAGAAAAGATGGCTGTGAATTTATAAATTTTGTTAAGACCTACACTGAGGTTACCTACATTTTACCTTCTTTAAAGTTCTTCTCCTTAATTACTCAATTCTCTGAATTTCATCAATTATCTTTTTTTAACTTCGTAGTTTTGTTTTTCTCTAGAGATTATTTTCATCCAGATTTTATTCTGGGTATCAATAATTGCTAATGGAGAGCTAAATGTATTTATTTCTCTACTAGCATTGCTTATATCATCATCAAATAAATCCCGATCAACAACTAAATTATTAAAATCCTCGTTAATTTAGGAAGATTAAACTATAAAGTAAACTCCTCTTCTAAAAGTTTCAAAAACTGAACCGATAGGTCCAATTATAGCAGAAATCGTATGTTTAACAAAACCAAGTCCACCCTTAAAAAGTTGTTTGAAACCAGTTTGGAAAGGATTTTAAAGTAGCTATCCAAAAGCATATTTGAGACTGTGAGCAGTATCACCGAGATTTCCAAAAAGTCCCATTGATGAAACTATTTAAAGAAATTTTTAATTTGAATAACATTAGTAAATATAGTGTTTCTTAATCTGGCTTATGAAAATAGGTAATAGAAGGTGCTAATGAGATAGTTTGTAATGACTAAACTTAAGTTCCACATTCTTTAAGTTACTTAAAAGTACAATAAAGAATTTTAAGGTTGGGTTCATTGTAAATTCTCTGAATAAAATTGGTGAAGATTGAAATGAAAAGTTGAATTTGACATCATTTATGTAGAATTATTCAAAGAATATCCTCTTTTAAGCTTACACTTCATTTTTCTCATATGGTTTTTTTAAGTCATTAAAAGTTTGCTTCATTTTTTCAATATCTTCGACATCTTCGTAAACATTAGAACCAATTTAGTTAAAGCTTGATTGCTAAGTGAAGCTCTTTGCTTAACTAAAGATATCTAAGGTGTATTTATAAAACTCATCACAAAAATTTCCATCTACATTTAGATCGAATGGAGCTAATTCCAGGTAAAAGTACTTGTAGTAGTATAAGTTTTCTATTGCTTAATTATCTATAATATGCACTTTTAAGACAATTTGCTTGCTACCGTCTCTCATTTATTTCTTGAAAATAATTGCATCATTTTATCTGACCAATTAATTATCAATTTAAGTAGTATCTGCTCTGAATGATATCTTTTTGTTCTTATTTGTTTGACGTTTGCTAAATTTTAGGTTAGTAATGTAGATATATGCAATCTCTCTAGCTTATGAATTCACTATAGACATTCCAATTTCATTGATGAATAATTTGATCTTTTGCGTACTATCTTTGTCGAGTTTGTCCTTTTAACTTCTTATCAGCTCATTTTAATTTACAGCATTTTATGCGTTTAAAATTCTAACGCACTTCATTGTCTTTTCATTTATTATTTCAACTAAAAAGTCTCTATTATTTTTTTTGTCTTTAAGGATAATTTATTGATTTTGTCCATTCTTATTTAAATCATCTATATTGTAAGGACCAAGATAAGTATCCTAGGATTAAGAACATATTGATATTGACAGTAGCTTATTATTGAGAGGATAACTCCATGCAAAAGATATGATATTAAAGGGCTTTATGATATCGAAATCGTCACTCCTGCTTTCCTATTAGGCTACTTTAAAAGTAGTCTTTGTCAAATTCTCAATTCTATAAGGAGGAGCATATGAGACATCACTTATCACAATAAAAAAACTGTTATTCTCCTCATTAATTTGTACATTTACAATCATACATTCATTATCATAAGTTGACTTAAGCCTAATATTGAATTCACCTATCTAGTCTATCTAGAATTTTCCAGAATATTCATAATCCTCAAGTTTAATGCTAACATAATATTGTTTTTTACTATTAGTCCAATGAAAAATGCTAGTTTCTTACGGATAAATCTTAAAAATTCTAAAAATGATTAAATGCAATATTATTTACCCTTTCTCTTCACATTCAGTTTAAATGATATATAAAGTTAAGTAGGTTTTATTGACGAAAGTATACTTTGCATTAAAAGTAATCAATTTTGAGAATGAAAAAGGGTAAGGAAGATACTGAACTTGTGAAACAATTTCATAAACGCTCTAATCTTAATTTTTTCTTCTTTCATCTTAAATACTAATTGACTCTCCTTATAGCTTTGTAATATCAAATTAAATTACTGACCATTGTGATTCACTATAAAATGTTAAGGCAATAGTCATACCAAATTTTGATTTTTATCTGCTATTTTTCATATATTTGTTGTTCAATTGGACTATCTGAAAATAAGATTACTCTTTTTAGTGAATCCTTGTCTTTAAGTGGAGTTTCAAATAATGTTGGTTTAGCAACTTGAAGATAGTTCAAATTCAAAACTTCTTTTCGAGACAAGAAATCATGGTAGTTGATGAACTAAATTGAGTTTTTAGAAACTATTGTATTTTTCTCTTATTTTAAATGATATAATTCTAATTCTTGCTTGAACTCCTCTTCAGTACATTCAATTTATCCAAGTTAATCACCGAAAAATCTAACACTCTTTTTGGACATCTTTGATTCTTAGATTTTTGGTTGTTATTTTTTCTCTTCCTCTAATTCTGCTTTCTCTTCCTCCAGCATGTCTTGTGCCATGAATATTGTTGATACTTTATTGATGTCTTCATTTGAAAGAGCTGATATTATTCCTTTATCCTAATCTTGCAAGAGTTTGTAAGCCTCCCAAGGTTTTAATCTATTATTTCCATATGGATTGCTTTTTTATAAAGATTTGTAGAGTTCCTTATAATCTACTTCTTGTTCATTCTTGATTATATTGCTTTTTACAGAAGAGTATTTTACATGAGATTTCTCGTCCTTAACAGTTTCTGTTTGAAAACTATCTATCGAATTTTTTCTTTCACTTTTGGAATCTTTATTCTTATCATTGTTTTAATCAAATAGCTGATCTTTATTAAAGTTTTTAACTGTCTCAAAATCAAAGTCAAAATTTTCGTATGGAAGATCATACTTATCAAATGAAAATGTATCTGTAATCATTTATATTTGCAGAGGCATTTAAGTATTATTTAGGAACCAATACTTTGAAAAGAAACTGATATGATAGAACCCTTGAATAAAGGCAAAATTAGCACAAATGTTGAATTAGCTCTAAAAGTCACTTGTCAATTAGAAAAGCATCTTTTTTTATTTCAAAAATCTAAATTAATTTTTGCTCATTTAAGACTTGTTACTTTGTTATTGATTAAGATCCTCTCCTCCATCATTTTCGAACAAATGTTTGACATAATTTTCTTAGTCTTCATATTCAGACAGTTTATAGTCTTCTTCATCTTCTGTTTTCAACGGTATAAAAGTAGAATGCTAAAAGCCTGGTATACAAACTGATAGTTCAAAATTACCTAAGGGATTTAAAAATAGCGTTTAATTTGATGAATTCATCTTTGTTTCAAGCATATAATGTTATTTATCTTTAATAATTCTTTATTTCTAATCGCTCATGTATGAATTCTAGGGATCCCTAATAATATTTTTTAGAATCATTGTCATGGTCACAGGCAATAGATTCTGTATTGTAAAAGGTGGAGATATTGTCAAATATTTTATTGATATGAATTCAGTCTGCTGAGTATTAAAATCTATATAACTTCTTATACTGTAAACGTTGCAATTAAGGATGAAAAACAGATGATCATTCTTTCTTTAAAAAGGCTATGTATTTTCAATTTTGGATTTTAAAACTTAAGGTTTTTATTCAAAAATTTCTCTTTCATCTTTCAAAAGAGAGCAACTAACTGTTTAAGTCCATTCAAATTGGGATTAATCTTTTTTAGATTGCTTGTCATTATGATAAAGCACTGGCCTTAATCTAATTTACTAGAAGCCACAAGATTTTAATGGTATTATTACAGATTATTCTGGCTAAATTATCATTTCCTAGTTAAACTAATCATTTTCTCCTTATTCAAATTATTATTTAGAGTATTCTTCAAAATTATCTTATCTTCTAATAAGTCCTCTTTGGTTTTATATGAGTTATATCCTCATTGGTATTTATAGATTATTTTGAATGGACATTGGAGACCTTATTACTAATTGCTTTTGACCATGTTTTTATACCATTTGACAAATTATGTAAACTTACTTTTGCTCATCAAGATATATTCTTTAGCAATTTAGGTTTTCTATATTGATAGGAATAACTGAACTTTTTTCTGTGTATGTTTCATTCATAAAGATAATCTATAGATCAACCTTTTTAGCCTGTCCTCTCAAGAATCTTAAATTTTTCCTTCTAAATTTCGATTAAGGAGCCATCTCTTGTCCATATTTTTTCATATTTTTAACACTTCCTAGTTAATCCTAATGATGTTCCAATTCATTTCCTTCTATTAACAATTCATCAGCAATGCCATCTCTATCATAGTTTTGCACCTAGTCATTAATAATGGCAGGATCTTATAATTCTTCTTTTTCTTCAATTTTGTCAAAATCTAGTTCATTTATTTCCTCAGGTTAGAGTTCACTAAATACTGGTTGATTATTAGTTTTAAATAGAATTAATTCTCCTGTACTGTTCTTGATGTAATACTGAGATTGAGATAACTTTACTTCCCTTCTATCTCGTCTATTCTCACCAAAATTTGTCAAATTTTACTTATATTTTTCATAATACAACTATTCCTCAGTTAGTGTATTTTAGAGATTAAACATTGTATTATAAAAAGCTACTGAGAAGTTAAGATTAATTGGCTTTAATGATTTTATATCAAGAATTGAATTTTTGTTTTTTTGTTCTGTATTTTCAAATTCTATATGAGTCGATTCAATAAATGGCTCATAAAAGTTAAGTTTGTTATTGAAGTAGTATAATTCAAGTGGGATTGAGCCTCTCATTAACTAGAGACTGCTATTTTTATTTTAATGCTCTAAGTTAATATTTTTAAGCTCCAAAGAAAATAGTGGCTTATATTACTAATTCCCATGACTATCACTATCTCCTGTTTCTTTTAATAGGACAATGTAGAATTAAGAAATATTTAAATTTTATGTTGTGATATTTCCTACTTAAGGTTAATCGTTATCCTTTTTTTAACTTTTCTGCTAACTATTATTTATGTTTTGAATGATTTGAATTATTGGATTTATCTCATCTTTGATATTATCGATTATAGACTTAATGTAGTAACCTTATCTTAAAGATATTTCTATTTCCAATAAGCTTATATAAATTTCATTCTAAATCTATTATGATCTCAACCCATCTATAATATCATATTATTCCATATTGAATGCTAAGTCAAATGGATGAATTAGGACTACTTGGTTAGATGTCTTGCTCAATTTATCTATAAGTCTATGTTATTAGGGTCTCAGATAAAGCACAATTTTTTTAGAAAGAACATCCATAAATATCCCTTTCAATTAATAATTTGCAGTTTCTTTATTCATTTCCTTTTTAAAGTATTTTTAAGCCTTAAGTTCACCTTTTAGGATGATTTGTATAGAATCACATTGTTCACTGAAGAAGTCATCTTCCTAGTCAAATGATGTTAATTTTTTTAGAGAAGTAGAAAATGCGCTTTGGATGTTTTTCATAAATGTATTTTCTTCAGATTCTTTCACTTAGTGACTGTATGATAAAGATATTTTCCATTTTTAAAGCTCTAAGTTAAAACTGGTTAATTCTTAGTCTTAAGATATTTCGATTTAATCTTTTTGCAGCAATTTTGTAATAAGATCTCTTTTTTTACCTCTTTTCAAAATATTCTTGCAGCTGTATATTGATTTTAGCAGACTAGATATATTTTTTGCATATATATTATTCATGTTGAGATATAATTAATCAAGAAAAATATCATTGTGATTTTTATCAACTGATTAAAATTGAAATGCAATATTGTCATTTTTAAATCTCGGTAGTAGACTCAAAATTGGTTGTAATTTTTAAGATTTGTTCTTACAACCTATTGTAAGATTGTTGAATTAAAACATTTTAGAATTCACAATTTCTATACCTTTTCTACTCTTAAACTTATTAATTGTTATACTATTAACTTGTAGTAAGAATCTTTCATATTATTGAGTGATATCATCATCAAATTATTCCTTTTATATCTCTTCAACAAATTATGGCTTTTTAACATAATTATCTACAAAGTCTATTTCTTTTTATGTGTTTTCTAGTTATTGCAGAATTTACTGTGAAAGATTTTTGCTAAAAAGGGTGACAAAATTATCCTCATGGTCATCAAATCCTAAATTATAAACCCATTCTAAGATGAATTCATCAAGATTAATCGATTCTAGCCCTATAATCTAAGGGCTTTCTTTTAGATATTTATGAGATAGTCTACAAAGTTTTATCATTAATTCATATTCTTGCAGTTCATTAATGCTGATTATTTATACTTCTTATTGGTTTAAATTTTCTTACTGATATGAATCGTTTTGATTGTTTTGATTGAAATGAATATAAATATTCTTTGCATCCTCAAAATGATTGTCAGTAATGTTAGCTAAAAATAAGATGTAATTTTCATTTAGAGAAATTTGAACTTTGCTACACTCAACACCTATTAGCTCCTTCTTCTTTTATATATTAGTTCTTAGAATGTTTATTAGTGGATATCTTACATCTCTAGATGATGACTTTGAAATAAAAGTCAAGAACTATTCTAGCATTATTATTTAAATGTCTATATCTTTTCTAATAAACAAATTTCTTAACAATATATAGAGAGAGTTTTTGCTGTCCTTTAGAGGAATTTAAATGCAAGAGCTTTGAAGGATTAATTGAAATTTGGTTGTAATTTAATTTTAAACATCTTCAATACTAGATTATTCAGTTTATAATCTTTGTTATTGGATATCTTGCTAGTCTTTATTATTTTTCAAAAATTTAAATAGTTTTTATTGAATGATGAGTGTTTGATAAATGAGCTTTACATCAGATATTATTAGGAGCTGATTAATGGTTAATTTTATCTCTTATGAGCTTTTGCTTTAAATAATTTTAAGCTTTAAGATTTCATTCAGCTCTTCAATTGAATCAAATTATTTTAGTATGATTTCTTATTCATTTTGAAGAACTCTGAAATCATCTAACTCTATCTTAATCTCTCTTTCATTATTCATTTAATTTACCTCGAGCTTTAAATTAAATAATTTAATGCAAGCCACTTCTTTTTTTACTGAAAATCTGGAATGAAATCCTTTCATATCGATATTCAACTCAAGATTTGGCATCAAAATTTCAACATCTTTTTTATCTTCTTATCTTGGCTTACTATTAATTGGAAAGTCGTTAATAAGAGTTTGCATTATTTTATTAAGCTGATTCTCACTAATTTAAAACTCCAAGTTATCCAAATTGCAACTTATGCATTTTACTTATTAATCTGAGATTGATTTATTCCCTATCGTAAGTATTACAAAGTTGTCCTCATCAGCATTCATTTAATCAATCTAATGGATTCTGTCCTCGTCCTCAATATCATATATAGGTTTTTGCATTTTTAAGGGACTTTCCTATGTATTTTAAATGTCTTCTTGTTCTACCATGAAATCATCATGTTCATAGTTCTGAGATCTTAGTAATATTTATTGTGATTTTTTTATAATAGAACTATTTTCCAAATTTATTATTGCTAGCTCTCTGATTGTAAAAGCTGTATATGTATTTTGATGTTTCTTAAAAATCATCAAACCCATTTTGCCAATCTCAATTTAGATAAAAGGGATTCCTTTATACTTGATATCGAATTCAATTTAGTCTTTTGGCAAGTATGATCCAAACTTGCTTTTAAGACCTTGATAAATTTCTTATTGGAAGTTTGAAGCCTCTAAAATGTTAATTTTTAGCTTATTTATTGAAAACTCTATGATCGTTTTAGACATAATAAGATTTTAATCTTTATTTTCCTCTTCAGTCTACTCAAGAATTTATTATTTTTTAGTTTCAAAATTTTTGTCTAGGTTTAAAAGATTTATTATATCTTGGTCAAAGACGTCTTAAGCATCAAAGAATTCATCTTCATCATTGCTATCACTTTCACTTTTCTTACTCTCTTCATCAGCTTAAGATGATTGCTTAAATTTTTGAAGTAAATTATTTAATTGGCTGAATTCTTATGAACTATTAAGTTAAGATTGACTTAACTTTAAGTTTTAATTAATGGTAGAAATCATTTTTTCTTATTAATGCTATTAATCTTAAAATTCATCTTCAAAGTCTGACTCAAAATCATTGATATTCTACAATCTTGCATATTCCTTTTCAAACATTTGCTATTAAAGCTAAATACTTTCAATATACTTGACATCTCTTTATACTTCAAGGGCAATTTGCTCGTGATATTTTATTATATTGTCCATGAAATTCTTCAATTCTTTAGTCTCTTTATTAGTTATTTGCACTTCTATATTGTTTATATTTGCTTAGATTTATAATTTTTTAGTTATTTAATTATCATCCTAAGAGGTAGTTTACTTTTATATATCTACATAAAAATCTAGCTTTTTCAAAATTGTATATCTATCATATTCAATACCATGCTCAATAAATTAAAAATTTTCTAGTTATTATATGGTAGGAGTATAATATATAGTTGTATCATATACTATTATAGAATAATCATCTTAAAATTCAAAATCAATGTTTTCTCTCACATCTTAAAACTCATTTTGTAATTATCTCGTCAAAAGCACTCTATTTTAATTTAAATTATATTAAGAATGGCCATTTCTAATGATTATATCACCTGTTTAAAATATCAAGAACTTACTAGCATCACTGTTTATGTTATCTGGTATTATAATATCTATACCTTTAATGTTGCATCCTACAAATATTTCGCTTCTTTTCAATAACTCTTTAAACCTTTCCTAGGTTTTATTCTTAATTTATTATAATCTAGAGTCAAAATCAGCTTCAGCTGATGCATTTTAGACTCTCCTAATTGTTGCAGTATTCATAAAAGTCTGTGCTCTTTATAATAGAACTCTATTGTAGAATACTTAGAGAGAGTTAATGAATAGGTCTATCTTGTATTACTCAATTTTTTCGCTTTTTTTGTTGATAGATTTTTGGCAAATTTGAAATATTAAGAAGGGATTCATCTGGATCTCTCCCGACATTACTTCTTCATATGACCTTATGAGTGGTAAACCATTGTTAACATTTGTATTGGCTTCTTCATCAATCTCAGTTCTTTCTGTAATTTGTTCAAGCATTTTTGCCCTTGTCATTTTTTTCCTTAAATCAAGAAGATTTATCTCATTTGCTTTATTATGAATAAATTTATCTTGATTTTTCTTTTAAATAGCTTTTGAAAATTTCTACTTGTCAATAAGTTTATCTATGACTTCAAAATTTCTAAAATAGAGAAGAATTTTAGATTCTCTGAAGTTTGTTATTTTCTAATAAAAAGTATCATTAATTTATAGTAGCATGAAATATTTGCTAGATATGCCTTATTTCTTTGAAACAAATTAAATCTCAATTTTAGGTATTGAAATACTCATATGACTAAGTATTTTTTATTTAAAATCTGATTACTTGTACTCTTATTTTAATGGAGATGATTCTTATCCAGATAATAGATTAGAACTGGATTGATTTGTTAATTGGTCAAAATTATTTTCTTCATCATCAATTTGTTATTCTCCTATACCTTCATAATTAATAACCATTTGGTCAAATTCTTATAAGTCATTTTATGAAAGAGAAGAATCTGATGATGCCTATGAGCCAGAAATATGACTTCTATAATAGTTTTTTAAGCTACCAGGGATCCAACTCTTCCAGCCTGAGTTATTAATTTCGTCTTAGATTTTGGCTTAAGCTGCTTTTTCCAATCTTTTCAAAGAAACAACTATCTACTCTGGTGATAGCTTTGTCTCTAAATATATTACTCTATCTTGCATCTCTTATTAAGATGTGAACTTCTTTTCAATAGCATTAGATCCTGTGTCTTAAGAATTTAAATTTATTTCTACTAATCTTTATTAATAGCCTTATCTCTCGTAAAAATCATTCACTGTTTGCATGAAGTATAATTGACTCAACTCTATCATTTCAGCCTATCTTTTTGTTCTAAGATTCTTTTCCCTCCTTTATTTTCTAATATAGTAAACAGTCGAGCTAATAGCATATCTCCAATATTCTAAAGCATTTCCTCTAACTGATTTGTTATAGGGTGGTCTAAACTTGAAATGCCTATTATCTTTTCCACCCTAAGAATGCCATGAGAAAAATTTCATCAAATACTACGCATCTTTATAGATTTCTTCATCTAATGTCAATAAAATTCCTGAAATATCCATTGCTGTTGTGCTCTTTGGCAACTCAATTAGTATATGCTGAGACAAATTTTTTCTAAATCTAAACCTCAGATCGCAAGGTTGAATCATAAAAACAGGTTGAATTGATTGGCCAGCTAAGTATTGATGCTATTTTTTCTTGAGATTATCAACGAATTTTTTGGAATAGTCAATGTGCTTTTATGCAGAGAGTGCCATAAAATCTTTATTTTTGTTCCATGATTCTTTTGCATCTGAATTCCAATATAAGGCTAATGATTATACTTCAAGCATTGAATATGATTTTTGTTCAGATCTCTTATCGTCAATGTTAATAAATGTCCTTTAGAAATTGCTATTAGTCATAGAGTAATTGAGTTGGTTAAAAATGATTCCAAAGTTAGTCATTTGGTCTTTCCTTGCCAGTTTGCTATCCTCAAATCTAATGTGAACATTTTTCACAACTAACTGCAAGTTTTCTGATATTATATTAGACAGCCTTTTCATATAAGATTCCTTTTCCTCCATCTTACCAATTTATGAGTCCCCATTCATACTTTGATTTTTCTATGAAAGCAATTATAGACTACTAAAACTTACCTTAATTTGCTCTAGTAGGTCTGAAACTTTTAGCTTTTTAAGTTTCCATATCAGTTTTTTGGCAAATTGATTGTCGTAAGTAGAACTTGATTTGAGAATTACATGTATTTCATCAAGGTTAACTTCACAAGGAGAAGTTAGAAGTTTGCTCCAAGGGACATTGATGCTAAGATTCTGAATATATCCCTTTGCTACCTTAATTGGTGCACCTAAGACTGACATAAAGATACTTTCAAGAGCATCCTTTTTTATTGTCACATTTTGCTTCAACACACAACCATTCCACTTATCAATCTCTATGTCTTTACTTGTGAAGTCCTATGAAAAATATAATTAGATATGGGATACCTCGATGTATGCTCCGAAGGAACTCACAATAAGATTCTTGAAAAAGTTTGCGAACATAATAATTTTATAAATATTAATTATATTTGATAATAAATTTTCCCAATATAAATTATCCATCTAATTTATTCATTGGGGTTTTGGGGTTTTGGGG